CCAGAAGAGGGTGTCAGATCCCCTGGAACTAGAGTTAAGGACAGTTGTTAGCTGCCATGTGGGTGCTACAAATCAAACCTGGTTGCTTTGGAAGAACAGCAAGTGGTTTTAACCACTGAGCCATCTCTCTAGCCCAGATCTAAAATTTTTGAAGAACAAAATGAACTCAATGTGTGACACTCAAAGTTTCAGTTTGACTTAAGACTTTGATGGCAGCACTAGTGACCAATGGGATGAGTTTCTGAAGAATGTTAGGGCATGTGTCTCCAGAAAGTCTTGTTTAGTGTACTGAGATGAAGCCTGCATAACATAAAATTTACTCATTTGACGATTGAGTATAATCGAGTGTTTTTTAGTGTATTCACAATATCACCATCATCTAATTCCAACATATTTAATCCATCTGAAAGGAAACTCCACGCTCCTCTGCCAGTTATTTCTTTTACTTATCTAATTTCTCAGCCCAGAATGTCATTGTTACTGATAAGTACTGAAAACAGACATTGTTTTTGTTCCTGATCTCAGGGGAAAGTTTTCCGACTTTCACAGCAAGTAAGATGTTAGCTATGTTTTTTCTTAAATGATTGATTTGAGAAAATTCCCTTATAGTCCTATACTGAGAATTTTTTTCTCATAAAAGGTGTTGGATTTTGTCAAATGCCTTATCTTCATCACCTGGTTTTTCCTTCATTTTATTAATATAGTATATATTACATTGATTGGTGTTTATGTAGTGAAACACCACTGTTTCTTTTTTTTTTCACCGCAAAAGAAATAAGAGCTAGTTTACTGTGAATCAAGTAAAAGTGGCTGTGGTACATGAACAGAGCTTCAGGATGCCCTGGATGACATGTTCCATGTGCTTGCACGAACATTTTATAGTCATGGAACAAAAGAAAGTCATAAATCAAGGTATTTATCAAATACTTTGGTGGAGACATCAGGTAGGCTGGTTACAACAAAGTGGGGCAATCTCCACTCTAGGTCTTAATTTTTATGAAGTTTTTATTAACATATATTAGTACAGTAATGATTTCATTATGGCATTTTACTAAGTGTATACGATGTATTATTATATCCACCCCTTAGCCCCCTCTGGTCTTCTCCCACTCCCGCCGTTCCTTTCCTTTTCTCCCTTTTACTCTTGTGTCTTTCTTTGTGGTGCTGCTGCATTTCCGAGATGTTTGATTTATTCATCATGCATAATCTTTTTAATATGCTGTTGCATTTTATTTGCTAAGGTTTTTTTAAGGGGGCTTGCTTTCATACTTTAAAGGAACATTAGTTTACAGTTTTCCTTTCTTATGACGCCTGCCTGGATTCTTTGTTTGGATAATACTGGCTTTGTAGGAGGCATTTTCTCCCGTTATTATTTTTTTTTTTCTTGAAGGATATGCGACGGGTTCGTGTTACTTATTCTTTAAATGTCTGGGAGAATCTGCCAGTGAAGCCGTCTGGATTTCGGCTCTTCTTTGTTGGAGGTTCTCCTTGTTTATTTATTTTTTATTTTGCTTACTATAGATTTATTT